CCCCAAAACCCCAAAACCCCAAAACCCCAAAACCCCGAGAGACCTGGTCCAGAATGAAATCATAATACGTAATTCGTTTCGATAAATTAAATATTTAAGCATGCTTATCCTAAGATGGATCCTGTATTTTAGTGTCACTATCGCAGCCATCCTGGCTGCGTTGGTGACAATTACTAATCCAAAGTACCATGGAAAGGTCAAGATACGCTCAAAGTATGGGAAAGTTTCTATATATCGAGGAAACGACGGAACTCCAAAGATTTTCGGAGAGAATAAAGAGGCTACTTATTTTGGACTTGGCTATGTCCAAGCCCAAGATAGACTTTGGCAATTTGAGAAATTTAGAAGACTATCAAGAGGCTCTCTCTCTGAAGTATTTGGAGATGAGGCCTTTCCTATTGATTATTTCTTCAAGCAGCTGAATTTTGATTATCTCTCACAAGTTGCAATCAAAGATGTTGATCCAGAAGTTTTAGAAGACATAAGCTACGTAGCTGAAGGGATCAATGAATATATCAAAACTAATCCTCTACCACTAGAGTTTTGGGTATTAGGAGTTGACTGAGCACCGTTCTCAACAGTAGAAATCCTTGAAATTGAGAAATTCATTGACTTTGTTGTCTCATACAATCATCAAATGGAGCTGACGAGAGATTACGTTTTCAAAGCCACCAATTCTTCAGAAATTTCAAGAAAGTATATGCCATTTGAGAATCAATACTTCAGGAAAAACCAATATGCTACATTTGATGATGAGCATCTAAAGAAGATTGGACTGTTTGAGCAAGATGGGCTTAAGAAAGCAGCAAAGAACTTCAAACCTAGGCATACGAAGTATCCATTTTCAAAGAAAGATATATACATGGAAGTGAAAGACACTCTGGGTCTGATGCATTTTGACGGAAGCAATGCATGGGTTATTCATGGAAACTATACTGAGAGTGGCAAGCCTATTCTTTCTACTGATCCTCATCTGACATCACTTCTTCCTTGCTTCTGGATGATGGCTGAGGTTTCCTATGGGAACGTTTCAAGATCAGGAGCATTTTTGACAGGATTTCCTTGGATATTACTAGGAAGAACTGAAAGCTTAGGTATCGGAATTACAGCAATCCACGCTGACGTAATTGATCTTTATGAAGAAAAAGTATCAGAAGATGGCAAGTATTATGAAGTAGATGGAGAGCTAGTTCCCATAAAGCAGCAGAAAGACTACATCAAAGTGAGGGATCCATTTTATCCCTCTGGCTACAGACTTGAAGAGATCTTGATCAATTCAACTCATCATGGACCACTGATCAATGATCCATACGACGAGGTTTATAAATTCATGAAAAGATTACCATTCGGATCGCTTTCCAAGCACAACTTAGCAGTTTCTTGGTCTGGTTTCCAAGGCAAGTCAACCTATTTCAGCAATAACAGATGCCTCAATTATGCTAAAGATGTCCACCAAGGCTTTGAATGTTTGAAAAATCTTGGAACCCAAGTGGTGAACATTTTCCTCACTGACACTAAAGGAAATATTGGAATGGCTCCAAGTATTAGTTATCCCATCAGAAAGCATCCGCTTGCAGGAGCTTATATCCAAGATGGAAGTAAAAGTGAGAACGATTGGAAAGGATATGTACCATTTGAAGAGATACCAAAAGCTATCAACCCTGCTAGAGGATACATTACGAATTCTAACAACATGCTTACCACTCAGAATGTAGAATATGGAATTGGAGCACTGATGCCTTCCCCACCAAGAGTTCAAAGATCTTCGCAATTGATTGAGGAACAAATGAAGAGTGGCAAAAAGTTCACCGCCAAAGATATGCTAAGGTTCCAACTTGATTCAGTCGATCTCAATGCGATGTAAGTTTGATCAGAATTAGAGTGTTTTGATTCAAAAATTAAATTAACACACAATCATCTAAAATTCAAGGTTTTGTGTAGATTCATGCTTGATTATACAAAATCTCACATACTATTATAGAGAGATACATGGCTTGCTCATTCAGATCTTGGATAAGTACTCTGAGAAACTACTACACCAGCTACCAAACCAAGAATTTAAGGATATATTCATAAAATTCAAGAGCCACATTGATAAATTTGATGGAGATTATCATGTAAACAGTACCCAAGCTTCTCTCTTTGCTTTATGGGAGCTAGACTATCATATCAGCTTCCTTCAAGACCAGATTCCTCAAAGAGTATTGAGAGAAACAATGGTGAATATCCCAGACGGGGACCTCTTTCTTTTGGATGTTCTAGAAAATTTGGTTTCAGATCCTGGCTATTACAGTGAGTTCTGACAATCGAGCATCACCATATATGACAAAGACTATGAGATCAAAGAGAACAAATGTTTATTGAGTTTAGCTTACAATGCTATTCATGCATGGAAGATGCTAGAGACAACTGTCTCTAAAGATCCACAAGAATGGCTATGGGGAAGAGTTCATCGACAGTTCTACGAACATTTACCATTTTCTCAGATCCCTGGCTTTAAGTCAATTTGGCACAGAGAAGTCCCAGCAGCTGGATCTAGAAGGACACTTTCATTTGCATGCTATGACTATTTTGAAAACAACATGAACTCAGATGTGTTTTTCAAAGCAGTATTTAGTGCAAATTTCAGAGCTGTAATAGACATGGCTATGTATGATGAACCAGAAAAATATCCGATGTACATGTCAATCGATACTGGAGCCTCTCAGCACCCTTTCTCTGAACACTACTTTGATATGAATGACATCCATTACTCAGAAGAAGGAAGGATTATGACCCTGGGAATTGAAAATGCTAGGAAAGAAGCAAGATATCACCTCGAACTAGTTCCAGCAATCTAATTCAAAAGCTTATTTTAGCGATATAAATGAAATTTAAAGGCTCTTCAATCATGACGTTATTCTTAGGGGTTTTGGGGTTTTGGGGTTTTGGGGTTTTGGGG